GGAGGACGAAGGAAAATTGACACCGTCAGGACCAGGAGGCCACATGCGAGTCTTACCCCACGACCCCACGATCTCTGAGGGGTGAGGCGGGGGCCTCCTCTCCCTCTCGCCTCCCCCGCTCCCCTCCTCTCTGGCCCCTCCGCCTCCCTCCTTCCCAGACCTCCGTCACTGCTCCTCAGTATCCTGCCCCTCCCGCCTCCCCCGCTCCCCTCCTCCCTGACCCTTCCGCCTCCCTCCTAACCAGACCTCCAATGTCTTGACTTTTGTCGGGTCCCCCTGGAGCTCCGGACCACCTCCCGGGGACCTGTGCGTCGTCCCGGATCGTTTTGTGAACGGTCCTCTGGGCCCGGCGACACGGACCTTCGAACGCCAAAATGTACGAGACAGTTCCGCCCTGATTTTCAACACGTTGGAAGTATGCGTCCATCCTTCCTCCTCTTCCTCTTCCTCCTCCTCCTCCTCCTCTTCCCCCTCCTCCCCCCTCCTCCTCCTCCGCCTCCTCCTCCTCCTCCTCCTCCTCCTCGCCTCCTCCTCCCTCCTCCCCTCCTCCTCCGCCTCCTCCTCCTCCTCCTCCTCCTCCTCCTCCTCCTCCTTCCCTCCTCCCTCCTTCCTCCTCCTCCTCCTCCTCCCCTCCTTCCTCCTCCGCCTCTCCTCCGCCTCCTCCTCCTCCTGCCTCCTCCTCCTCCTCCTCCTCCTCCCTCCTCTTCCTCCTCCGCCTCCTCCTCCTCCTCCTTCCTCCCTCCTCCTCCCCCCTGCTCTCGCTTCGTGCCCTGCTCCGTCCCTCCGCCCCCCTCGCCCCTCACAAAGAGGGGGGGGGCCAGCGCCCCGCCAGAGGATGTCGTCCAGGCCGACTTCGCGCTCATCTTGAGGGACTACCCCTCAAGCCCAGAGGATTGGGGCCGGGATATGCTACGGTGCCAGTCGATTCGCCGACCGGGGCCGCGATTCGATTCGGCCCGATTCACCGGCATCGGCCTGGGCCGGCCAGAGCCAGGCGCGGCGATCCTGCTCCGATTCGCTTCGGGACGATCCGCTGGCGATCCCGATCCGTTTCCGACCCGATCCGATTTGGCCGTCTTGATCCAGTTCAGACCAGGGAGCTGGATGTACGTGCGCTGGCCATAGTCTCGACCGGCGTAAGTCACACCGGAACGCCGCAGTCGGCGTTTCGGGGGGTCGCGCCGACTGTCTGGCCGGAGCTGGGGCCTCGGGGGGCCCAGAACTCTCGTGGTCCCTGCCTTCGCCCCTGCGAGCAGCGCGTTGTTGCTCGCGCGCACACGACGCGGCCGGTCTGGGCGAGAGCTGGATGCACACATGCGGCCGTGTGTCCTTCAGGCGCGCGAACTCCCTGGCGGTTGGGCTCGCCAGGCTTTCGCACGTCTGTCCAGTGCGTGGCCTCCCCCTACAGGAGGAATGTTCAAACATAGTCCAGGAATATAACGTCTGGGGGCGTTTGTTAGACTATGTCCGATTATTTTGGGATAGGAGTATTTTCCACTTTTCTCCACAACTAAGCGGCCCGTCGTCTCCTCCCTCCCCCTCCTTCTCGCCCTCCCCCGTTTCGGTTACGCCGCTTGCCGGAGCCCCAGAGACAGCATAAGTACTCTTGAGGGGGGGCAGACCCAGACAGCCAACGTGATGAGGAAATCTAGACGAAGTTGTTCGCCGTGCTACATTGCAAGGGGTTCTTTGAAAATGGCCCCAGGGCTGCCAAGAAGCGACGCAGGACGACCCGCCGCCGCCGGCCCGCGGGAATGCCCTTTACTATCCCCTGACAACAAAAGACAGCTCGCCGCTTGGGCCCAACTGCCAGCCAAAACGGCGAGCATGAATCGAGAATGGCCCTGTGGAACCTACATGGTGTGTGTGTATGCGTGCGCGTGTGCGTGTGCGTATACGTGTGTATGTGTGTGTTTGTGTGCGTGTGTGTGTGTGTGTGTGTGTGCGTGTGTGTACGTGTGCGTGTGCTTGTGTGTGTGTGTGTTATGAACCGCGCGCTGCTCTCCACTTGACTTGCCCTGCGCCGCGCCGCCGCGCGCGTGGCCGCGACGCTAGAAAGTGTGTGTGTGTATGCATGTGCGTGTGCGTGTGCTTGTGATCCCCTATGGGTGGATCCTGGTCCCCCCGCTGCGTGAGCTGGCCCGGCCGCGCGCTCGCTCCCCCTTGATTGTCTGCGCCGCGCCGCCGCGCGCGTGTCCGCGATGCCAGCAAAAACGCGTGCCTGCGCGTCGTGTGCGCGCGCGTGTGTGTGTGTGTGCGCGCGTGTGTGTGTGTGTGTGTGCGTGTGCGTGTGCGTGTGTGTGTGTGTGTGATTGTGTGTGTGTGTGTGTGCGTGTGCCTGCGCGTCGTGTGTCGGGCCCGCCCCTCGGGCTCGCCCTCCGCTCCGGACGACGGGACCGACGACGTCGTCGGTCCCGTCGTCGGGAGCCGGGAGGCCATCATCACGCCGGGAGGCCATCATCACGCCCCTCGGGGCGCACAGGCGACCTCCTCCAGGCGGCCCCACCGTGGGCCAGATCCATGATGCTGTCCGTGTTGCTTACGATGAGTGGCCCGCACAGGCGCCACGTGGGGAGTGAGCCCCCCCGGATCCGCTTCGCCTCCCGCCTTGGCAGCGTGCTCGGGTGACTCGGGCGTGGTTCTGCCCGCCCTCGGCCCCGACGCCCTCCCGCCATCCCCCGCCAGCTGCCGGGCCGCCGCCCGGCCTCTCCCCACTGCGATCCGCCTCGGCCCGCGGCGCGCCGCCTCACCCCGGGCTCGTCTTTCAGACCGCGCCCGCCCCTGGCCCTCGCCTGTGCCTCGGGCCTCGCCGACTCGCCCGGGCGTGTCTCTCCGCCGGCTGCCGCCTGCTCTCCCTCCTGGAACAATATTGGCGGCTCGCTGCCGCCCGCGCTGCCGCCACTCTCCCCGCCGCTGGCTTCTCCGACCAGCGGCCGTCATCCCGCCCTTTGGGTGGCTCAGCCGGGGCGGGTCGTCGGGCGCGGTACTGCCCGCCTCTGGCCCCGTCCAGTCTCCCTCACGCCCTTGCCCCTCCCGCCCTGCCTTGGGGCTCGTCACTCCATCCTGGCGGGTCTCGATGCAGCTGCATGGGCTGTTTCCTGGTCGCGACCGCCATCCTTTGGGTCACCCTCCTACCGGGGCGCGGCCCTCCGGTTGGGCTGCTGATCACCATGGTGGGCCCTCTGGGCTGATCGCTTTTCGGATCCCATCCTGGGCTGCAGGGCCCTCCTCACTCCGCCACACCTCGCAGGCACCGCGCCTGCCGTGCTCCTTTGGCTCACTGCCGCACCCCTCTCGCTGCCTTGCAGCAGCAGCACTCGACGGGGGCCTCCCGGCTGATCACCAGGGTGGGCCCTCTGTGCTGATCGCCAGTCGCCGTCCCCGCAGACCCCCGACGTCATGATTGTTTCATGACGTCGACCCCCAGAGGTTTCGACCTATTCCGCGGCACAGGCTTTTTGTCCTGAGTCGTTTTGTTGACGGCCCTGAGGCCCGGTAGGGGCCCCCAGAGACCGCAAATGGTGAAAAAAACCTCGCGTTGTGATGTTCTCATTCCTCCAGGGGATCTGGGCCCGCTCCTCCCCTCGCTCGCCCCCCCGCGGTCTTGCCGCGCGGTGCGCTGCGTGGGCCTCGCTTTCATCCTCCCGCCCCTGGCGCTGCCTCGCCCTCTGCTGTGCGCCTCCGCCCCTGCCGGCCACCCCGGCCGCCATCGCCGCCCCCGCCTCCGGGCGCCCCCCGCTCGCCCCGGGCGCTCCAGGCGCGGACGTTTTCCCTGACCCGACTGCAGCTGGTCGGCTCCTGCCTCGCGACGCGCCATCCTGGCCGCCCTCCTCCTCCTCTCCTCCTCCTCCTCCTCCTCCTCCTCCTCCTCCTCCTCCTCCTCCTCTCCTCCTCCTCCACCCCCCTCCTCCTCCTCCCCCTCCTCCACCTCCTCCTCCTCCTCCTCCTCCTCACTCCTCCTCCTCCTCCTCCTCCTACGGGACAGCGTCCCGACGAAATCCACGAAATCCTCCTCCTCCCCCCCCCTCCTCCCCTCTCCTCCTCTCCTCCTCCTCCCCTTCCTCCTCCTCCTCCTCCACCCCCTCCTCCTCCTCCTCCTCCTCCTCCTCCTCCTCCTCCTCCTCCTCCTGCTCCTGCTCCTCCGCCCCTCCTACTCCTCCTCCTCCTCCTCCTCCTCTCCTCTCCTCCCTCCTCCTCCTCCTCTTACCTCCTCCTCCTCCGCCTCTACCTCCTCCTCCTCCTCCTCTCCTTCTCCTCCTCCTCCTCCTCTTCCTCCCTCCTCCTCCTCCTCCTCCTCCTCCTCCTCCTCCTCCTCCTCCTCCTCCTCCTCCTCCTCCTCTCCTCCTCCTCCTCCTCCTCCTCCTCCTCCTCCTCCTCCTCCTCCTCCTCCTCCTACGGGACAGCGTCCCGAGCGAAATCCACCTCCTCCTCCCCTCCTCCCCCTCCACCCTCCTCCTCCTCCTCCTCCTCCTCCTCTCCTCCTCCTCCTCCTCCTCCTCCTCCTCCTCCTCCTCCTCCCCCTCCTCCTCCTCCTCCCCTCCTCCCCCTCCCCTCCTCCTCCTCCTCCGTCCTCCCTCCTCCCCAACTCCTCCCTCCTCCTCCTCCTCCCTCTCCTCCTCCTCCTCCTCCTCCTTCTCTCCTCCTCCTCCTCCTCCTCCTCCTCCTCCCCCTCCTCCTCCTCCTCCTCCTCCTCCTCCTCCATCCTCCTCCTCCTCCTCCTCCTCCTCCTCCTCCCTCCTCCTCCTCCTCCTCCTCCTCCTTCTCCTCCTCCTCCTCCTCCTCCTCCTCCTCCCCCTCCTCCTCCTCCTCCTCCTCCTCCTCCTCCTCCCCCTCCTCCTTCTTCCCCCCTGGCGCCGGGCTCACCCCTCCCCCGCTGCCCCAGCGGTTGCCGTCCCGTTGCCCACCGCTGCCCCGCAGACGCCGCCGCGCCACCGCCCCCGGAGGGCCTGGCTCCGTCCTTTCTAGCCGCCGAGTGCGCCGCCGCGAGAGGTGCTAACGGCATGGCGAGTCGCCTGCCCGCCGACGACCGACAAGTGCATGTGCGTGTGCGTGTGCTTCTTCCTGCGTGCGCAGCGCGTGTGTTTTCTTTGGGAGAGAGAGAGAGAGAGAGAGAGAGTGTGTGTGTGTGTGTTGTTCGTGTGTGTGTGTGTGTGTGTGTGTGTGTGTGTGTGTGTGTGTGTGTGTGTGTGTGTGTGTGTGTGTGTGTGTGTGTTTGTTCGCGTGTGTGTTCGTGTGTGTCTGTGTGTGTGTGTGTGTGTGTTCGCGTGTGTGTTCGTGTGTGCGTGTGCGTGTGCGTGTGTGTGTGTGTGTGTCTGTGTGTGTGTGCGTGTGCGTGTGCGTGTGCGTGTGTGTGTGTGTGTGTTCGTGTGTGTGCGCGTGTGTGTGTGCGTGTGTGTGTGTGTGCGTGCGTGCGTGCGTGCGTGCGTGCGTGCGTGCGTGCGTGCGCGCGTGCGTGCGTGCGTGCATGCGTGCGTGCGTCTGCGTGTATATATATATATATAGATATATATAGATCTGTGTGTATATGCGTATGTGTGTGTTCCACGTTGCCTGCCATGGCTTGCGCGACCCATGGTTTTCGGCATATGTTGAGTACTCCGTGGTGTGCGTCATCGGTTGCAACACTCATGGGCGGTTGTGCCAGTTGCTGCGCCACCAACGGGTTCCGCCGTGGGTTGCGCCATCCATCGGGGACGCCATGCTCCATCCGCGGGTTGCGCCGCAGGTTGGACACTCGGCGGCCGAGAGTAACACTGCCGAGAATAACACAGTGGGCTCGCCGCCGATACGAAATGACATGAGAAATGCCTGCTATTGTGTTCGCCATATGTTGCGCAATCGGGGGCCGATAATCAAACGGCTTCCAGTGGCTGTGCCATGTGTTGCGCACTCGGCGACCGACAGTAAGCCGGCCGCCTGACGGGTGCGACGTGTCACTCAGCCAGGCAGCCCGCACCCCGCGAAATAATTACAAGTTTGGACCACGCCGGAAAACAAGGCACCAGATAGTTTGGGAAAAGGTGGGACGAGGCCCGCCAGATTCGGAGGTGGCTTGGGGTGGACGGGGGGCCGGCCAGCAGGGCGTCGTCGCTCACGGAGAGGCCTTCTGAGGTCAGTCGCCTTTCGGGCGCCAGGGTCGGCGTTCCATAGGGGTCGCGCGCCGATTTCTTATACCCGATTCGGGTGGCCAGGAGGGGCCATAAACTCACGCGTTTCTTATGCTGGCCTCCTCGGGCGCCACCAACGTCGACGAGGAGGAGGAGGACCAGCGGAAACCCAGGACTCATCAACGATGTTGGAATGCACCCTCCTTTCAAGAGCTGGCTTCATAGGACCCTACAAGAGTTCATTTCCACAGAGGGAATTGCCCCGTTGGGGGGCAGCCGTGTGAGACTCCTGAAGCGTGCCAAAACACCATTCTCCGAAATAAAACGCCACGAGTTAACTTGACTGTTGCGTGTTGGCACTCCTATTCGCGCAAGAACGTCATTCCTGGGACTTCAACACCGCGAATCAATGTAACTGCTGCTCCCAGACAATCCTGAATCGCCCCAAAACATTATGTCTGGTACGTTAACCATGAGCATCAGTGCCACTCTCGCGCACGTTTCAAGCACATTTGCGCGTCGCTAAGGCGAGAGAGACATTGAAAAGGAGCCGCCATCACTCTGTTAAACTGATGCAAACTTTTAAGACGAAGGTGCGCGTCGCTAGGGCGAGAGCCACATTAAAATGCCGCGCGCCCTCATTCCGTGAAGCTCTTGCAAGTTCTCAAACGGATGTGAGCGGTGCTAAGACGAGAGCGACATGTTGAAAACCACCTGGTCTCAATCCGTGAGAGTCTTGCAGATTTGTTAAACGACAGTGCGCGGCGCGAAGGCGAGACCCGCATTTGGACAACCACCCACCCTCAATCTGCGAAGCTCTTTTGGAAACTGATGTGCGCGGCGCTCAGGCGAGAACCACAAGTTGAAAACGATCCGCCCCAAATCCGTGAAACTCTAGCAAAGTTCAAAACGAATGTGCGCAGCGTTACTGCGAGAGCCACATTTTGAAAACCACCCGCCTTCCATCTGCGAAACTGTTGCCAGTGCTTAAGCTTCAGGCTCACACACTGTGAGGAAGTTTCAGGCAAAACGCCCCGGCCGCCGTTCCGACTGGCCTCGGGGTGCGACAGCGAGGGAAAGGAATGGAGGAGAAGCAGGAGGAGGAGGAGGAGGACGATCTGGCATGGCCATAACCAGGATCTATCGATCCAGAGCATTTCTGGACCGCTCTCAGGGCATTCGGGAGCGCTCTGGAACGGCTGCGGCGCCTGATACATCTTCCATAGCCGCCAGATCTCAGAGATGCCATATTTGTCCCGTTCCGATGTTGCCCCAATCTTGGCTTTGCCTAAGAGGAGGACTGAGACGAGGAGGAGAGCGAGGAGGACGAGAAGGAGGGAGCAGAGGAAGGACGAGGAAAAGGAGGAGGAGGAGGTATCCAGAGGGACGAAGTCCCACATGTACGATGTCTGCATTTGTTTCGGTACGGGTCCCCGGAAGTGTGGACCCCGTGCCCAGGGCCAGCTTTTCAATTTTGAGTCGTTTTTGACTGCCCCGGGGACGGGCGAGGGCCGCCAGAGGCCGAATCCAGCGGAAAATGTTCGCCTTGACCTGTGCACTGCCGTGGGGGCCTGGGGGTCACCCTGAGGCCTGCGCCGCGTCGGAGCGGCGGCGACCCCAGCGCGGGCGTTCGAGGCTAAACGCCGCCAGCGGCCCAGAGTCGACCGATGTCGAGCGATCTGCGCAGTCGGGGAGCCGCGGTGGCGCGATGCACGCGGCGTCGGAAGCCAGCGCCCGCGACACCGAGTTGCAGACCAGCCGCACCCAAAGCGTCAAACTGCCTCGAGCCCTTTCTTTTCGTCTCGCACATCGCCAGAGATCTGGGCCCGCCTTTTCCTTCTCCTCCTTCTCCTCCTCCTCCTCCTCCTCCTCCTCCTTCTCCTCCTCCTTCCCCTCCTCCTCCTCCTCCTCCTCCTCCTCCTCCTCCTCCTCCTCCTCCTCCTCCTCCTCCTCCTCCTCCTCCTCCCCCTGCTCAAGATGCCGGGTCGGCCATGTCGGGAGGAGTTCCGCGAGCTCTCCGACTTGGGCCTCGCCGCGGAGGGGCTCGTCGACCTCTGGGCTGTGGTCTACCTTGCGGGCCCCTCCAGCCCTGGGTGCCCCTCCTCCTCCTCCTCCTCCTCCTCCTCCTCCTCCTCCTCCCCCTCCTCCTATCTCCTCCTCATCATCATCCTTATCCCTCCACCTCCACCTCGTCCTCCTCCTCCTCCTTCTTTTCCTCTCAGACGATCCGCCAACTCCGCTACCCTTGCCTAGTTTCCAGCTTTTTGGGGCCTCTTGGGAGGCTCTCGTCGCCACGGCTGGATTCGCCTTGAAATGCTGGTCGGACCGCACCCTGGGAGAGGTCCGGGGAGTAGCTGTATCGTGTATCGGTACTTTGCTGTCCATTTTCTTCCCCCCCCTTTCTCTTCACTCACCTCCTCATCAAGTAGGGGCCTTTTTTTCTCTCTCGTGTCCCGAGGTGGCACCACCATGCCCCCCCCCCTGTTCCCACCTCGTGCCACTCCGCTCGCCTCAGCTCTAGTCGGTTTTCGTCTCCAGACGGTCCTGCTTCGCGCACCTGCTCGCGCCATCTTGCTTGCCCGCGCCGCTCCAACACAACACATGAAGCCTCTTCTATTCACTTCACCGCAACAGCGGTTGAATCCTTTTTCATCACACCAGATGGCACAGAGGGGTACGCCGCTTTGGCCTGAGGTGCCACGGTCTCCCGCTCGACTCAGCTGTGTTTCAGCACGCGGGCGTCCGTGCCCGGAGGGCTGGGCCAAGCAGGTGCGAGGTGGGAGCGCCGTTCGCGGCTCTGTTGGCTTCCCTGCTGGCTCGGAAAAGCTCGGACCCCTAGAGCGAGACGAATTGCTGATTCGGGGCTGTCGGCGGAGGCGGACAGGTGCCCGAACTCAACACGAATCAGCCTTCAAAAGAGTAGCACAGCAATTTTATGTGGATGAGTGAGAGCGCGAGGCATTATGTTTTGAATTTAATGAAGCAGGTGTTCGTTGCGGTCCTGCGCTGTTCGCTCAAAGGTGCAGCGCGACGTTCCCTCCCGCCAGGTCTTCTACTTTCCTCCCCTTGAGCTCACTCTCTCGCTCCTCGACATCGCTACTCGTTCAGCTGCTGTCCGCAGCATCCGTCTCCGTGATGTCAGCAGGCCAGTTGTTGCAGCCGCTGATCGTGCTCACATGCTCCTTGCTCCCATGTTCGGAAACTGGAGCATATACATTACCAGTGGTAGGCTGTTTTTCGATCCTAGGACTTTTTGAAGACCGGGGACGACGTCGGGGTGGTGTGGTGTACACGTTTGTTCCCCGATATCCTTGGGAAACAACGAAAATATATACACCATGATCCCGTATATACCAGGATCCGCTTTCCTGTGCGAATTTCCGTGCGGGGCCGGAAAAAGCGTCGGTGTAGGGAGTTCGGTTCCTTACATGTTGCACCCAGGCACGCAGCAGCAGTTGCCAGAGAGAGCGGTTGCAACACCGATCTCTAGACGACACCAGGGGACCCCTCCCGAGGCCAGACGCTCGCCGAGGCGGCGGCGGACCAGGCGCAGCAGGCCGAGGGCGGCAGCCCCGTCGAGGGCGAGCCGCAGGCGGCGCCGCCGCCGGCCCCGCCTCCGTGGGTTGTCGTCGCCACCGCCCCCGCCGTCCTCGTCGCTGCTTCTCCTCCTCCTCAATCGTACGTGTGATGACCGTCATCGTCAACATCACCACCATCATCGCCACCATCCTCGTCAGCATCATCATCCTTGTCATCATCCCCATCCTCATCAGCAGCATCATCATCATCGCCATCACCAGCACCACCACCATCATAATCATCAGCATCATCATCGTCGCCGTCATCATGATCATTACCATCACCACTGTCACCATTACCAGCATCATTGTCATCGTCATCATCATCATCATCAGCGTCATCATCATCACCATCATCATCATCCTCTTGTTCTCTCCCGCACTGATTCTGGCTCAAGTCACGTCCATGGTGCTTCGAGCTTGGACGCAGCCCTATTCATGGCGCATGATCGCGCGCGCAGCGGTCAGATAGTTTGGCGCTGCCGACGTGGCCGCGGTGGCGCTGATCGCTGGGCGCTTCCCAGCGGGCACTTCAGTGTGAGTCGGTGACCTGGGCGGGCGCGGTATCATGGCAACGCCGACAGCGGTAGACAAGATGATGATAATAGCGATGTTGGTGACGATGATGACGAAGACGACGGCAAGGCCAGTGACGGCGTCAACGCTGACCACGCCGACATGGTTTGGGAGGGAGGTCGACATGCGCTCGCGGCCGACGCGCGACAGTGGCCCGCATGATATTGGTTGACACGGATCGTGCCTTCCCCCCCAGCACGCGCGCCAGGGCGTTCGAATGATTTCGATGTGAGGCGCGAGGGGCCCGTGTGGCAGAATTGTCATGCACATGCTGCAAACCAAACGGCGCCCCGTCAGAATTCACGGGAGCGCGAGCGGATTTTTTTTTGAAACTGGCGTTGCGAATCAGTGTTTTATTGTATATATGTGCGTTGTGCATATATGAAGTTGTATGTATGTATCTATATATACATTCACGGGACTTTCGATGTTGCTGCAATATCTACGAAACCTACGGTTGTTGAAGAATTCCGGCATGCGCGCGCGACGGCGCCCGCGTGTGCACGTCGTCCCGTTGTTTGCAAGGGTTTCTTGCGACAGCAGGCACGCAAGGGTGTTCGAGCGCTTCCGACATGCGCGCGCGAGCAGCCCGTTTGGTAGCAAGTTGTGAAAATAAGGTTGAAGCAATCTGTGGTTTTCTTGCGACTTCGCAGGAGCCCGAACGCAAACTTTTTTATAAAGAATATGTGTTGCGAAACCATGCGTTTTCTTTGTGGTTGGGGCGCTTGATTCTGATATCCGTACGAAACCTAAGGTTGTTGAAGGATTTCGGCACGCGCGCCCGACAACGCGCGCGTGCGCGCTTCGTCCCGTCATTTGCAAGGGATTCTTGACGACTGATGATTTTTGATAAACGCATGAGCGCGCATAGTATTTTCTGCAGAGGATTAAAAGGGGTACCGATGCCTTTGGACGGTAGGAATTCGTATGTTGTCGGATGGGCGATGGGGCAGACTCAGATGCACATTGCAATACGAAAAGGGGGACCGTTCATTCCGGGGGGTAGATCTTATGTTTCAAGGAAAGAAAACATACGTTGTGTGGTGTGCAGTCTTTGTTGTGCAATCATTGTTTTGGGATGTACGTGCCCACGAGGTGCACCATACATCCTGCGGACGCAATGCGGAACAACCTACGCAGTTCAATCCACGTGGTGCAGTCGATGTTGTGCACTACAGGATGCGCATTATATTTATGTTGTGCTATAGGTGTGGTGCGAAATTGGTTGCGCGTGTACAACGTATGATGTGCAATATACGTGGTGCGATTTCGGTTGCGCATTATACGTGGAACCGGACTTTGGTGCAAAACACGTCGTGTAGCAGGCGCTGTGCAGTCAAAGTTGTGCAATCGATAAGTATGCGTTGCCATGCACGCGGTGTAATCTACGTTGTGCATCCTTTGTTGCGCAAGGCAAAGCAAAGCACGGCAAAACAACGCAAGACAATACAACACAACGCAAAGCAATGCGGAGCAGCGAACAGCAACGCGAAGCAACGACAAAAACCGCAATGCATCGGCGACGGACGGCGGCGACGGACGGCGACGGCAACATGAATCGCTGCGACAAGCAACCAGGCCCAGACAACAGGCGGCGACGGATTGCGGCGTCGGGCGGCGGCGGCGACAAGCACGGCGACCGACACTCGCGCCCAGGCGACGGGGACGGGCGGCGACGAGGCGGCGACGGAACGGCGACTGCGACAGCATAGCCGCCAAACTGACAGCCAGGGTCAGTCCCTTCGAAAAGAAGCAAGAGCCCAAAGTGCAATCACTGTCTGGGGAAAGGGGGGTATCCTGAAAGCAGAGGTCCCTTTTGGTGGTATTCTAGATTCCGAAGGCAACCCCGCTCAGGACCCGCAGGTGCTCTGTGCGATACGTACAACGCAGTCTTGTTCAGACGTCCGGTTGCGGACGACTTTTACCATTCGGACGCCGTCAAGATACCCTAGGACGACATGCCCGCGATCGACGCGGCCATTTCTGAGCAGCGCCGCAACACCACGCCGTGTGCGCAACCTAATACTAGCGACAAGTTGGTCTCGGCTGCAGTGTGCCAGCCATTCGAATATCACGCGCAGGCGGCCGTGAAAGGCTTCCAGAGGGGCTTCGTGAATGGGAGGTCGCTGACGGATAACATTAGATCGCAAACTATGGAGGCTATCCTTTGGCGCGCTGCCTATGCTCGCAACATGTTGCGTTATGTCTCGTTCGACATTCCACAGTTAGATTTTGGACGCGCTCACAAAAGCCGCGGTGCCTACAGTAGGCGATTGTTGAATGCGGCCGAAGCTCTCTGTACTGACCTTCACAGTAACATCAAGTTCGGCTGTGGGGGGGACTTGTGAGGGCTACGCCATCCGTCGGGGGTTGAGCCGGGGTGCCCGCTTCCGGGGGTGGTCTCCGCGATCGTCGCAGACCCGCTCCTTCGCTGCACTGGTCGACTGCTCGTGCATCAAGATGCCTTTCTTTCTGCATATGCTGGCGCTGGCCTTGCTGCTGCAGGCAAGCTTCAGGTGCTGCTTGGTTCTTGCACCGATGATGCAGCACACGTTGCCCGATACTCGCCCAAGACCACGGTGGCCACGCGGTCGTGGGTCTCCTGAACGGAGCGTCGGAGGCCCAAACAGGGTCCCCGGAGCTGCCGACGCCTCCCTTTTTTTTGCTGGCTCCATGCTTGATGGTCCTGGGGCCCGAAAGCTTGCCCCAGAGTCCGAAATCCCGAACGAGCTCAGGGGTGCAGTGTAATACCGTCGGAGGTTTTGGGGTGGTCCATCCTGTGGCCTTTCGCTGGAGGGGAACGTTGGAGACCCGGGTCTGAATCCGTCCTCCTGCTCCCCCTCCTCTTCTTCCCCGTCCCTTTCCTCGCCGCCCCCCCCCTCCTCCTTGTCGACGTCGTCCTCCTCGTCCTCCTCGTCGTTGTCATCATCTTGGTATCCTTCCACTTCTTCCCCGTCCTCCTCCCCCTCTTTGCCCTCCTCCTCCTTCGCCTCCTCCCTCTCCTTCCTTCCTCGTCCCTGGAGGCCCGGGGTCTGAATCCACCCTCCTCTCCACGGAGAAAAACCACATACACAGTGCCTTCGACTGCCCGCATGGATCTCTTGGATCTGCGCTGGGCCCCCCTGGCGGCGCCTCCGGCGCCGCCCTTGGCGCGCGAAGCGCGCCAGGGAGGGGGTGGGGGGGGGCTCCAGCGCCCATCCAGGAAATCCGCGCGGAGCTCCGACGGGTTCTGTCTATGCAGGTTTTTGTCTCCCTCCACGGCGTGGAGGGGGAGGAGGAGGAGGAGGAGGAGGAGGAGGAGGAGGAGGAGGAGCAGGAGGAGCGAGGAGGAGGAGGAGGAGGAGGAGGAGGAGCGAAGAGGAGGAGCGAGGATCAGGAGTAGGAGGAGGAGCGAAGAGGAGGAGCGAAGAGGAGGAGCGAGGAGGAGGAGGATGAGGTTTCCCCCCCTCCGCCGTGGAGCCTCCGAGAGCGGAGGCGCGGCCGCCCACGCCGCAGCTGGTGCCCTGCGAGGCCCCAGAGCTCGTGCGGCTGCTCCACAGCGAGATCGGCGGCGCCGCGGCCGGCAGCGACCTGGCGGACTCCACGGCCTGGCCGCCAGCGAGCCGCGGCGGGGAGGGGGGCGACGACGGGGATTCACCGAGCGCGTTCCACTACTCTCAAAGTGCCTACTCGCAAACGTCCGAAAAAAGTGCAGGTCTGCTCTGATATTACTTATCGTAGAGCCTCCACGGGAAATCCAGGCCATTTGCGAGTAGTCACTTTGCGAGTAGTGGAACGCGCTCGTCTAGGGATGGGGGAGGGGAGGCGGCCCCAGAGCTCCGACGACATGATTTGTTCGACCTTTTTTTCCGCAACAACATCAAGATGTGTTGCAACAACAACAAACGTTCAATCTCTCCCGCTTCGCCACCAAGAACAAATAGACAATGTTGTTCTTCGGTTTCGGGGCTCGTTGTTGGGCCCCGGGGCCATCCAAACATTGATCCAGGGCGGGGAACTTTGGGAAAGGGGTCGGGAGGTCCGGGGGCGCGGATTGAAAAACTCAAGGACCACAGGGTGGCCGAGAAGGGCGACGTCGACGAGGAAGGGGGGGACGACGAGGAAAGGAGGAGGGACGAAGGGGAGGAGGAGCAGGAGGACAAGTAAGAGGAGGACGAGGGGGGGACGAGGGGAGGACGAGGGGAGGACGAGAGGAGGACGGGGAGGGGAGGAACGGCGGCGACGAGGATGCGGGGAAGGCCGAGACGGAGGGTGACGACGATGATAAGTGGGACGTAGGGAGCGAGGAGTGGGGAGCAGGAAGACGGAGTCGTCTGCACGCTTTGCAGAGTGTGCGCTCGCAGCGAGTCTTTGGACGGTGCTCTAGCCTGCTGCGCTGGTGTTCCGCTTGCTGCAGCACTCTGGACAAAAGGCGACAGGCAATGATGGAGATGTGCCGTCATCGTGGAAGTTAATCGACCTTACTGGCTCCCCCAGGGAGCCTGGGGCTAATGAGTTGCTCAAGTGCCAGCGCTTCTGTAAACATGCGGTGGGGGCGTTCGGCAAGGAATGTACCCAGGAGGCTACAGACCCTGAAGAGTTCCTGATCTGATGAGGGCGGCGGTGATATCGATGGCCAATCAGATAAGGAATTCTCCAGATAAGGAGTTCTCCAGCGTCGGAAACCTCCTGGACACATTCCAAACGAACGCCCACGCCTGGAGCGCATCGCAATGCCAGTGTTAGGATGTTTCGTCGTTTCGCTTGGTTGGCCTTCCGATGAGGTTATTCCTTTCCAGGAGGCCGCGCGCTTCGCTTTTGCGTTCAACAGTATGGGCCACGACGTCCTGGTCAAAGCTCATCGGCGAAGCTGCATGCATCCAGGCCATGTCTGTTGTCTAATGCGGGATTTGAGCGAATTCGGGGCGCGACTGGCAAATACCATCGGCGGGGTACATGGATTGGTGTACTTTTTCCCGTGCGGTCAAGCAAGACGATAATTGAATTCCATATGTTTCGAGCATGTTCCTCGGGTGCATGTTTGCCCTTGCTGTCAAGAATTTGACACTGCAATTTCATTAATACTGGGAAGGAGAACGCGGATTCCCAACGATGCACCTTACCTGGGCGGGCAATACTATCACAATGTTAGCGTCACGTTGTCAAGTCAGTCCAGCATGGAGCCTGCAATGCTACCGAGCTCGAGTTTTGGGGCTCGCTATTGGAGAACAGTGGCTCTTCGGGGACAGGATCTTACAAATAGATTTCTGAAGGGGGAAGGGTGTTTTCCATCGAAATCGTGAGCCTTCGTCGGAAAAGCCAGCATTGCGTTCAAACTGCAGGCATGACCAGATGCTCCTGGAGCTTCAGCCGTCTTCACCGGGGCAGGATCCTGGCATGCGTCCTCCATTTTGGACGAGGCGAAGCGATTGGAGTTCGCGCGGTTGCGAAAAGCAATGCGGCTTCGCCGCTGCCCAAGCAATCGCCATGTTTATCGGCGCTCCGACAGTTAATTCGTTTTACGTGCGGTTGCAGCTCAGCCGCATGACTGTAAGGTCGCTGCAATACGGAAGTCATACACGAGCCTCGCCGAGCTGGCCAGATAGTGCGATCGGGCGCGAACGGCGAACGCTGACAAATTTGGCGCGCGCTGCAGACCACCGGTGATAGAAAAAAGGGATCTGCTTAAAACGTTTTTTGATTGTGGGGAGCCCTCAACGGTACGCCCGTGTTGGGGTTCGTCGGACAGGACCCGAAAGCATTTTTCACGAGTCCCTCGCAAATCGACCACTTGTGGATTGGACGGTGAGGCTTCCCGGTCGTCTTGGGAGCAAGCCCGATCGCTTCTGAAGAAGACCCATGCGGTCTGTGCGTTTCCGGGTCCATGTGCACGTGGTTTGCCCGCTTGGTCCTTGAAAATCTTGAATTGGGGGCCGAAGCCCGATTCTGGCCCAGAGGGCGGGGAGCTGCGTTCACCTTGTGCCGGGCCCCTGCGGCCAAACGGGGCGGGGCGCCAGTGTTGCCCTCAGCCTCCATCGCCCCTCCACCCTCGCTCCCCAAGCGGCTCCCTCGGGCTATCTTCGATCTCGCGCCAATTTGGATGGCGACGAGACGCACCGTGGCAAAGGTGACGAATCTCTCGGATCGGCGCCGCACTGAGCTGGCAGACGCACGGCGCCGCTCATAGTTCTGTGCGGGCCCCGGGGCCGTCAGGAAACGACGCGGGCGGATTCTCAGGAAGAGGCCCAGACCTCTGGGGACGCCCCGTCAGAAAGCACCACGACGTCGGGGGGAGGGCGACTTCACCGTCTCTCGTGTGCGCGAGCGGGTCGGGCCGGGTCGGGCCGGGTCGGTCCTCCTCCTCCTCCTCCTCCTCCTCCTCCTCCTCGCCCTCCCCCTCCTCCTTCACCTCCTCCTCCTCCTCCTCCTCCTCCTCTCCTCCTCCTCCTTCTCCTCCTCCTCCTCCTCCTCCCTCCTTTCCTCCTCCCCCTCCTCCTCCTCCTCCTCCTCCTCCTCCTCCTCCTCCTCCTCCTCCTCCTCCTCCTCCCAGAGCTGCCACCGGCCGAGGTCTGCACCATCCGCGACAGCCAGGTGCTCTCGCTCGTGCCGGAGGGCGTGGCGCCCGGGGAGCACGTGCAGAGGGCCATCCTCGGCAGGCTGGACCGCGAGGTGTCGGCCAGGAGGAAGTTCTCGGACTGGCTGCAGGGGGCGCAGCGGGTGGTGATCCCGAGCGCTTCCGCAGACGAGGACGGCATCCAGGAGGAGGAGGAGGAGGAGGAGGAGGAGGAGGAGGATGAGGTGGAGGAGGAGGAGGAGGAGGAGGAGGAGGTGGAGGAAGAGGAGAGGAGGAGGAGGAGGAGGAGGAGGAGGAGGAGGAGGAGGAGGCGGAGGGGGAGTGGACGGGCCGGCCGCTTGCCTCCGCGCTCGAGGGCGGCAGCGAGAGGCGCGTGTACGAGCGCCTCATGGGTTCGGTCGACCCCTCGCAGCACACGATCCCGCTGGCCCTGCCCTCAGTGAAGCCGATGGCCCGTCGGTCGGGGCTCCGTCGGGCCGCCCATCGGGCCCTCGGCAGGGCGGGCTGCCCCGCGCTCCGGCAGGCCTGCTGGACCGGGACCGGCAAGCGAAGAACGGCACAGAGAAACGCTTCCCCCGTCGGGGACGCCTGCCCCAGGGCGGCTGGAAAGCCTGCACCCCGACGTGCCACCGTATGGGGTATCAGACGCCCCAGCTTCCCCCGGGCAGGCGCCCCCCGACGGCGCAAAGGTTTCTGCTTTGCCTTTCTCGCTTCGCCTGCCGAGGGCCAGGACCAGGGTCGGGGAGCGCCCCGGATCGCGGGGGGGGGACCTCCTGAGGCCCTGCACTGCCTGGCCGAGCAGGTGGCGAGCACGCTGCAGGGGGGCTCCAAGGGCAAGGAGGACGAGCTCGTTCTCACGGGGATCAAGGATCCAGGGGAGGGAGCTCCCTGCGGATTCTTCTTCTGGGTTCGTGCGAATTCGCTGGAGTCCCTGAGGATCCCGAGGAAGGGGGTGCCTCACGGACCACAGATTCCACAGAGCTCACTCGAGGCCCCTGCGACTCCAGAGGACTTCCCACAGATTCCAAAGAGTTCCTATTGCAGATTCCAGAGGATTCCTGACGGTTTGGAGCGGGAGGAGGAGAAGGAGGAGGAGAAAGAGGAGGCGGAGGAGGAATAGGAGGAGGAATAGGAGGAGGAGGAGGAGGAGGAGGAGGGCGAGAAGCAGGAGGAATAGGAGGAGGAGGAGGAGGAGGAGGAGGAGGAGGAGGAGGAGGAAGAGCAGGAGGAGGAGGAGGAGGAGGAGGATGAGGAGGAGGAGGAGAGGGAGGAGGACGAGGAGGAGGAGGAGGACGAGGAGGAGGTGAAGGAGGAGGGGGGGGGGCGGTCGCCCTCCACCCTCCCTGGTCGCACCCCCTCCTCCTGTGTAGACCGGCGCCTATCTTATCCGCCGTGTGGCGCCGATGCCCCCCCCCTCGCCGGACGCGTCACTTCCGCCCCATGGGCTCGGCGATTGGGGCATCAGCTTGCAGTCGGACCGAAGTTTAAGATCGAGGTGGGTTCGGAGAGGGTCCCCTAGTGTTCTTCGTGTCTGTTGGATGTTTTTGTGCACCCTGGAGAGGGTACCCTTGGATGTTCGGTGCGTTTTGGCCGACGGAGGGTCTCATGTTCTCGAGGGGTGGTCTTCTGGCCTAGGTCTGACTGAAGTTTGTCATCGTGCTGCTGCGTCCGCTCCCAATCCTCCCCCGCAAAATTACTCTGGGAGAGGAAAAAAGCTCCACCCGCCGAGCGGCCGTCAGGACTACCTCGGCGGCGCGTTCGACGACATCCTGACGGACGGCGACGTGCCTGCACCGCGGCACCGGTCACCGCTCGAGGAGTTGGCGTCGCAGCACGCGGACCCCTCGGCCGAGGGGAAGCCAGAGATTGTGATCGGAAAGATCGGCGAAGGAGGAGCCGATGAGCCTGACGACGGCGGGGGGGGGCCTCGGCGAGGGTCTCTCTCTGTAACGATGGCGGCCGGCGCGGCCGAGACTGTGACCCTGCACCGCCTCGATTTTGAGGCGTGCGGCCACTGCCTGGCCGGCAGTGGAGGAGGTCAAAGCAGGCTCTGGAGCGGCGACAAGGTCGTGGAGGTGACTCGCGCAGTCCTCAGCCACGCCAGCGTGCCAGGCACTAGGCGTTCCGGTTTGCCCGCGTCCGCCGTGTATTCGGCCGCCCAGCAGACGGGCCTGCAGAGCCGCGTCTACCCGTTTGCGCCGTCGGTGGCCACTGAGGAGTTCGAGCAGATGTGGTTGCTGCACGCGTTCGAGGGGCTTCTCTCCAAGGCTTACCCAGAGAAGAAGTGGTGCCTCGCAGACCGAAGCTACCGGGAGTGCATCCCAAGGGAGCTTCTTGCACAGACTCTGCAGGCGGCGCTGGCCAGCGAGCCGCTCGTGGCCACCGCGTACATCCCTCGGCACGATTGCCTCATCATCGCGCTTTACCAGAGGTCCTTGCCACCCCTTCCTGGTTTCTCCAGCCCGCCTCGTCTCGAAGTGAAAAGCTTGACCCCATCCCGCTTGGGGGGGCCCCGGCTACCAATCTGGACCAAATGTGGCCGACATACCAAGGGGGTGAAGGGAAGTGAGTGGTTGGTGCGGCTCGATATGCCATACTCGAATCATCATCCTTATCCTCCTCCTCCTCCTCCTCATCATCATCATTCTCACCATCACCATCACCATCATCCTCATCACAACGACCATCATCGTAGTTAATGGTCATCATCACCATCACCGTCACAATACAAAGCTCCATCATCATCAGCATCAGCATCATCACCATCGTCAGCATTGTCAGCATCATCAGCGTCATCATCATCTTCATCATCAACATCATCATACTCATCATCATGATCAATATAATCGTCATCATCACCATAACAGTTACAAGCATCACAACCATCATCGCCATTACATCGTAATCGCCACCATCATAAGCATCATCATCGTCGTCGTCGACGGCGTCATCAGTATCATCATCATGATCATCATGATGATGATCATCATCATCATGTTGGTATCATGGCCAATACCGCCAACATCGACATCCTCCTTTTATTCATCCGCATCAGAGTCATCATCATCATCATCATCATCAGCATCATCGGCACCATCATCAATGTCGACACCATCAACACCATCAGCATCAACATCATCATCAGCATCATCATCAACAGCATCAGCATTACCATCCTCATCATCGTCACCATGATCATCAACATCAGCAGCATCACCATGATCATCATCATCATCATCATCATCATCAGCATTATCAGCATCATTATCATCATCGGCAGCATCAGTCTCGTCCTTCTCGCCGGTCACCATCACCACCATCAGTAACATCATCGTCATCACCACCTCATTATCACCATCACCGCAATCATCCTCCTCATCATCGTCATCACCATCAGCGCCATCATCATCACCATCATCATCATCATCATCATCATCACCATCATCATCATCATCATCATCATTATCATCATCAGCAGCAGCAGCAGCAGCTGCATCATTATTTTCATCATTCTCATCATCATCGCTCCCCCTTGTCCTTACCGAGCTCCGCCACAGGTCTCTTCACGGCAGTCCCTTGTGGCACTCGTGGAAGTGCGACCTCGGGTCCGAGCACGACTCCAACCGCTGGGCGGACGGGCTGTTCACGGCGCCGCGACCTCGCACTCACCTCACAGTGTATACTTGGGGCCTTCTGTGAGTCCTGCCAATGTGGCGGACTGGCTTTTCTTGCGTCCGACGCGGGTTCGGCCCTTTCCCTTCGGCGTGGATTCGACGCGGACGCGCAGATTTGACGCAAATTCAGCGCCAACAACGACGAAGTGGGACAGACACGGTCCCCCGAAGATGCAGCGTGATCATCGTCGCCGCGGCCGCGTCGTCACAGCGCACCCCCGCTGTTGACAAGGCTGCTCCTGGCCCGAGTGTGCCACGCAGACTCCCGCCCCCTCCGAAGCCCCCGGGGCCCTCCAGGCCTCGTGGGGCGACGGGGTCGTCGTGGAGGCCGCGGGGGCCTCCTATAGGCAGAGCTCGAGGCTTCTCGCCGCAGGGGCACCGCTGGCAACGCCCGGTGTAACCTCCCCCTGCTCCCCCTCGTCCTCCGCCTCCTCGCCCTCGTCCTCCTCGTCGTCCTCGTCCTCCTCCTCCCCCTCCTCGCCCTCTTCCTCCTTGTCCTCGTCCTCCTCGTCCCCCGGACCTCCGACCTCGGGGTCCATGCGGGGCTCCCGGGGCTCTCGGCCTTCTCCCGATAGGGCTGCTTCTGCATGCCAGGTCGGCCGATGGCCCATAATGTCAGGCGATCGCAAACATGGATTCAGGGCGCGTGGATTAGCGACGGGCCCCGTTTCCATGGGAAATCGCTGATTTCCGCCGCCGAAGGAGGTGGCACCAGCCGCATTTTGGTCAGGGCACCTCCCCCGATCCATGGATTTGGCGACCGCGCGCCGAATCCATGGATCGCTAATCCATGTTCGCGCGCCCCCGAGTATGGCACCCCCGGCCCGAGAACAGCATTCCGGGAGGCCGACGCTGTCGTCCTTGGCCTCCCAGATGGGGTCGGAGCAGATGGGGTCGGAGGATCGCGCCGCATCGCCGATGCCTCGCCGATGCGGCTCGATGTGGAGCCCGATTGGCTTCACGTCGACGTCGGCGATGCGGCGCGAACCGCCGACCCCATCTACTCCGACCCCACCTAGGAAGCCACTAGTCGGGCGGCCTCAGCAATTTTGCCGCGCTTTCAGAATACGTTTGAGGTTTGGGTATCTTCCTGAGGCTGCACCTCCACTTGCTCTTAAGTCGGGAATGTCCCTTTACAGGAGGAGTATTCCAGAATAGTAAACGACATAGTCTGGTGACGATGTTTCTATCACTTTTAGATGTTTGTTTAAATATTTGTTGATTATTTGTTATTCCAGAATCCGCCTGTAGGTGGACCTGCCCGACCTAAACCTGCTCCTCCCTCACACCCCCCCTCCTTCCTCTCAGGAGCCAGGGGCGAAACCCACCTCAAAACTGATGTGTGTGGAACCCTCCCAGGGTCCACCCTGGCCAGGCCAGCTTCTCGAGCTGCGCCTGGCCGTGGCGAGAGGGCCCCCCTCGAAGAGCCAAAAACATCGAGGAGCACCAAGAGCGAGGAGAGAAGAGGGACCCAGACACACGACGTTGTGAGTTTTCACAGCGTGGCTTCCCAGAAGGCCGGACCCTTTCCCGGCCGACCGGGGGCCGCGGAGACCGAAGATTGTCGAGACCTTGCCGCCGTGAGGTTCCCGCGACGGCAGCAGGCGCAGGAGGCGGATGGATCGCTCCAGAGCGTGCGCGCCGGAACGACCTGAGCGCCCGAGACATCCTCCAGACACCCCGGATCTCAGAGATGCCCGGTGTTGCATTTTCATTTGATTTTATCGGGACGGGCGAACGGGGGGGATAGGGAAAGGGGGGGTTACTAAATCTGCTACATGCAGCTGGTTTCGGCTCCACCGAGGGGCCCCTTCCTCGATACATGGCCGCCTCCGGCGCCGGGAGGCGCCAGGAAAATCAGCTACGTCAGCTGATTCTCGAACCCCCCCTTTGCTATCCCCCCCTTTCGCCCAGCACGATTTTCTATAGTCATCCTGCCAGAGCCCCCGCAGGTGCAGATGAGGGTAGGGGGGCGGCGGACATCGGCAGCCTGCGAGGCTCTTGCGCCGCATTTCCACGCGTTGCGAATCGCGCCAGCCGCACGCGCAGAACTTTCATCGAAGCAATGTGGTTGGGCCGCGGGTCGGGCGGGTCGCAGGGAGGACTACGACAACACTCAAGCAGTGGCGAAGCGTCCTGGCGTGCCTAGAGCCCTACCAAACAATGTTCTAAGAACTTCTTGTGGTTCCCACGAAATGTTCTTAGAACATGTCTGGCTGGGACTGTCTTGTTCGATCACATCGGGCTCATTTTCCAAAAGCAGTGTTTTTTTGTTATTCGAACATGTTGGGGTTCTAAGAACACTTCGTGGCGGGACTACAGGAATGCTGGGACGGGCTTTCCCTGCTCAGACCGGCGCTCTCCGCCTCAGCTTCGCGACCTGGGTCAAGGAGTGTCGGTCCGCGTGCTTCCCCGCCGGTTCTGGCCCACAACGCTTCGGCGCGACAGGCTGACCACGTCCCAGTCCCCAAGCGTCAGCTTCCCAAGCCTCTCCCGGCCCCACGCCCCGAAGAGCGGAGCGACACGCGATCTGACGAGCGAGGAGGAGCGAGGAGGGTCGAGGAGAAGGAAAGAGGAGTAGGAGGAGGAGGAGGTGGAGGAGGAGGAGGAGGAGGAGGAGGAGGACGATCGATGAAGGCTTGCAGGGCGTGGCGTGTCGCCAAGGGCCGCCGCCGCGACACGCCGAGCAGAAGTTCCTGGCCGCATCCTCGACCTATGCAGTGCTCTTCTGGCCTTCCGCGGTGTCAGGAGGCCCGTGCTGGGCGGTGCGAGGAGTGGATCTGCATGCGGGTGGGTCGTCGCGCCTTCCCTTTCGCCTCCCCTCCCCTTCCCTTCCCCCTCTCTTCAAAAGGTGCGCCTGCTGGAGAAACATACAGTGGAGGCCCATGCCAAGAAGCACCCTGCTTGCCTCCAGGGTGCCCTGGGTTTCATGGGTTTGCGATGGGTTTGCGATGGAACGCGTGACGTCCCCATACCAGGAGTCCATGGACTGGGCCTCGTGTGGCCGAGCCCCTGCTGCGGGAGGGGAGGGGGTCCCCTCCGCGCCGAAGGTGCCGACCTACAACGACTGGCTCCAGCTGTTCGGCGGGAGCGCGGAGGGGGCGCCCAGGCCGCGCTTCCTCCTGGACGGCTTCGACGCTCGGCAGGTGGGTTACGGCGAGGCCCGGGGACGCCCCACAACGCACGACGATGTCGTCGTCTTGAGGTCTGCTCGGCGGCGACCCGGAGATCCGTCGCAATTGTTTCACATCGGGCGTTTTCGCTCGATGTCGTCCTCGTTCCAATTTTGTTCACCGGGGCCCTCACAGATCGATCCCGATCGACAAATGACGCAGGAAGATGGGGTCCGGGGCTCTGGTCGCGATTTTCTGCCATGCTGTAACTGTTTGCATCGTCGGATCGGGGGGAAGCGAGAAGGAGAAGGCCTTCCTTCGAAGGCTCGGATGTCCCCCAGCCTTCTGAGAAGTTTCCTAAGCCTTCCCCGAAGACGCAGAAAACTTCTCAGAATGGCCGGAGCTGGAGCGCTGCTGAGAAGTCCCGCCGCCTTCTGAGAAGGCCTTCTCCTTCTCATTTCCCCCCCTCGCTCGCCGCCGATTTGCGGCCGACGACGTCGACGACGTTGTCGACACAACGTCGTCGCTAACCGCCAGCCCAGTACAGTCGGGGCGCTGAAGAAGGAACCCTTTTCGTTGTGGAGGGGCTCGGTGTTCCTTGATTGTTTCACAGCTTGCCTCAGGTTTTCCTTGTGTGTTCGACGGGAAATCGAAGTTCAACTTATGGAATATGGGGGCCTCGTTCCTTATTTAGGGTTCCTTAGGTCAGCGCCCCGACTGTACCCATGCCTACCTGCTGCGCGTGGAAGAAGTCAAGATGGTGGCCTCTCGCTATCTAACTCTGGGGGCCCTCGCCGGGCTCCGGCAGGCCGCCTCCCCCGCCCCGCCGCCCCGCCCCCTCCTCCGTCCCCTGCCCTCTCTCCCGCCCTGCCCTTTCACTGGTGCGTGGGGTGTGTCTCCTCTCTTGTCGGCGGCGAGCGGGGGGGGGGGAAGTGAGAAGGAGAAGGCCTTTTCGGAAGGCGGCGGGACTTCTCGGAACGCCCTCGCGCCTTCTGAGAAGTTTGTTCTTTCTGCCTTCGAGGATGGCTTGGAACACTTCTCGGACGGCCGGGTGACTCCCGAACCTTCTGAGCAGGCCTTCTCCTTCTCACGTCCCCCCCTCGCTCGCCGCCGATCTTGTGCCGTGTGCCGCTGAAGCCACGGTCGGGCATGCGACCTACAGTCAATCGGGCAGTGGCGAGGCGTTTTGGTTTGCCCATATCGCCCCACCAACAGATGTACAAATAATCATTGTCGTGGTCTGCACGAAAGGTTGTTATAATCTTTCTGGCTGGGACCTTCTTGTTTAAACACATCAGGTTTTCATGTCCTAAGAGCACTCATTTTGCTCTTGGAACATTTTTGGGGTTCTAAGCAGATTTCGCGGTAGGCTTTAGAAATGCCGTGACGGTCGGCCCCTGATTAAAGGGTCGGGCATGCAACCTCTTACAGTCAAGGCGCTGACGCATGGACCGTTTTGGGCTCAGGAGGGGCTCCATGTTTTGGGCCGTTCCTCCGATCTGGGTCTGGGAACCTGTTCGTGGACGAAGCCCGGCGTGGCCGGCGACAGCCCCTTCGTTCCTTCTTTGGCGTTCCGTGTGACAGTGCCATGTTGTACCCTGTCGTCCTCCGATGTGTTTGTTTGTGTGTTTGGGGGGGCTGACCTCTCCAAGGGAGCAAGCTCTGGTCGGTGGTACCCCCACTGCTAGGAACTCCGCCAACTGGACTCTCTGGCGCATCGAAGAAAATAAGGTGCGCTTACCTACTGAGCATCGCCTTTCCTCACGCGCCCTGCGGGATGGAACCTCACCCCTTCCTCTCCCAGACATTCGACGTCGTGGTTTTGTTCAGATGGCTTCCCAGACCCAGATCAGTGGATACCCGAATTGCATGGTCGCGACCGACGAGATCGACCGCGACCGATTTGGCTTCAAATTCCAGTATCGGTCGCGGCCGATTTACTTCAAAATCGGTTGCGACCGATCGGTCGCGTCGCGACCAGTCGCGACCGATTCGCAACCGATTTGAAGTGTCGATCGGTCGCTACCGATCGCGACCGAAAAATCAAGTACCCAATGGTCTGGGGATGTCTGGACCCCGTCGACGGTACCAGCTTTTCATCCCGAGTAGTTTTTTGTCTGTCCTGGGGCATGGCCAGGGCACCGAGATGCCGAAAACGTCCAAAAACTCCCGTCGCGATTTGTCTCATCGCGACGGGGTCTGCTGGGATGACCGCGGGGGGTGCTAAGGGGATAGGGGGGTTATATGCGGATGCCAAGGTGGCTGATGCAAGGCCTAACACAGCTTACTAGTGGGGTAGAGGTGCCCTAAGCGGCACAAAATCAGGACTGAGCGGGCTGCGCCAACTTGGCGGAGTGATCGAACTCGCCCAGGCCCCTCGGGGCACGTGTAACCCATGTGCAGGTAGAGGTCACGCCAGATCTGTCCCTCTTAGCACCCCCTTGTTATCTCATCCCCATCCCCTTAGCACACTCCGCGGTCATCCCAGCGGGTTGCTCTGATGGGCCTGTCTTCCACCACCACCACCACCATAAGTTGGAGCGGGAGGGGGCCCCCCTCCTCCTCCTCCTCCTCCTCCTCCTGCTCCTCGTCCCCTCCAACTTAAGGTTGTGGTGGTGTAAAACAGGCGCATCATGCTCTGCTCCCGCCAGCGGGAGCTCCTGCGCCCCACCGAGAGGTGGTGGAGAAGCTTGCGACGCCCGCGGACGGCTCCGTCATCCTCGTCAGCAGGACGCCTCGGCTGGCGGGCGCCCTCTCTGCCGGGCGCTCCCGGCGTCAGGGCCCGGCGCTCCCCGGCGCACCCCGGCGCTCCCGGGCGCTCCCAGGAGATTCATGGCTCTCCCCAGCGCTCCCCGGGGCTCCAAGGCGCTCCCGGGCGCTCCTCGGCGCTCCCGCTCCCCGGGCGCTCCCGGGTGCTTCCCCTTGGCGCTCCCGCGGCGCTCCCCAGGCCCGAGGGGTGGGCACCTTTCCCAGGATGCCTCAATCCGGGCGTGCGTGCCCCCGCGTCGAGGTCCGGGGCGATCGAAGAGCGGCCCCCCGGGGAAGGGGTTGTGGGAGGTATGGGGGGCGCGGATTGAAAAATCGGATCGTCCGCTATTTCGGTCATGGAGGCTTCATGCTGGTGCTTTCGCTCCCTCCGGGAGGGCGCTTTGGGGCCCCAGGGCCGTGGGGCGCCACTGTGGGGTGCCCGCGCTGCAGTCCTCGACAGCGTTCACCTCAAGCATGGCCTGCATAGTTTACGTGCGTACGTGATGGCCTGGGATCTTGATGGCGTTGAAAGCGAGGTACTTGTCTGCGCCGCCATCCAATGTTGGCCATCATGGAACAGGCCACGCCTCGATCTGTTTCGGCACTGGAGGGGGGCGACGCGGCAGGGGCGCTTCAACATGTGTTTGATGTTTGAGGTTCGTTTGGTCGAGGTTTGTAGGGGAGGGGTCGAGAGGTGTGGACCTCGAGACGCCAAGAGATCGAGCCGTCGGAATACTTGGGCTTGCGGGCACGATTCGGAGTGTCTGCGAAGCTGGGTGAAGGGGCAACTCGGGTAACTATAGCGAGGCCAGGCCAAGCCAGACGAGGTTGGGTTGAGCAGGACCGAAGGAGCTGCCCAGGTCGATGGCCAATTAAACCTCCCAGGCAGCTGGGCCCGGGCCTGGCCCGTATCGTGCGTGTGGTGCGCCAGCCTTGGGCCCATGGACTGGCCGGGGCCGTGCCAGTGCCAGTGAAGATCGACGATGCAGAAGGGTTGACCGTTCGCTGGCGCGCGTGTGTGTACGCGTGCGTACGTGTGTGTGTGTGTACGTGTGTACGTGTGTGTGTGTGTGTGTGTTGTGTTGTGTGTGTGTTGTATGTGTGTGTGTGTCTGGTTGTGTGTGTTTCAGTGCGCGGCCCCGTGCAGGGGTCCTCACGCGCCTGCCCTCGGGGCAGTCTGCCGTCCTGGATCTGGGTTCGCTGCCCGCGGGGGGGCCCGCCGACGGGCCAAGTCGAGGCAGAGCTTCCAGATTGGATGCGTCCGTCGCGGGACAGTAGATGGATTCGAACCCTTACACATTCGGAGGAGATTCTAAATCACCCCCGCGCCCCCGACGTCAATGTTGATCTCAGTAAAGGCGTTGCTTTGGGGTTCGAGTATTTCTGTCCACTCGCGCCCCCCCCCGTCGCCACGCTATCAATATTAATTTCGGGGGGTCTGGGGGGCATCTTGGGCCACAGGGTTCGAATATCATGTTCATGTACGGGAGCTTTGGGCTCCAAACATTTTCCGGATCTCATCGTATAATGGAGGGAGTCTTTTTTCGGGGGGGGGGGGGCTCACGGGCCTTGTCAAGCAAGATGATGGGGGGGGCCTCGATGCTGAGCCCGTTGTTGCACCGCTCTTGGGGGTGGTTGTCCCAGACGCGCTGTCAAACACTTCTGTTGACCCCCCTCCCCCGCCATTGTTAAGTCGGGCGTGTCCCTCCACAGACCCTACATGAAAAATAGTCAAAACCAGTCATGAAATAGTGGGGTGAAGATTTTTCGACTACGTTGAGCTATTTTGAGCATGTCTTGACTATTTTCAACTTTTCGTTTAACATCCGCCTGTCGGAGGACACGCCCGACCTAATGCTCTTATGAGACTTGAACTATAAGTGGTGAGCGTGGCTGGAAACCGCGGGAGCGTGGATCTCCCCACGCAGAGCCGAGCAAAGCCGGCGCCCCCTGCCCTGTTCTGTCCGAGTGGGGGGGGGTCGACGTCAGTTGGCGCAGGCTTCAGCATTGTTTCGCCGATCCCCGATCCTCATCCACATCTCCAGACCCCCTCGAGCAATGAAAAAATCACGACGGGATGTTTGTCGCCATTTCTGGCATTTGGGGGCCCGTACCGGGCCTCAGGATCGTCAAAAAATGACTCAGGATGAAAAACCGGTCCTGGGAATAGGTCGAGGCCTTTGGGAGTCGACGTCATGAAAAAATCATGACGTCGGGGGTTTGGGTCCCCATCCCCATCCAGACGCCCATAATTTTACCACCTCAGTTGAAGGTATACCCCTCGAAACCCAAAGGGAACAGCCTATATCCCCATCTAGGGGGGTTACACATCGGCCAGTGGGGCCCAGGCCACGCCAGTGGTGATGGGGATCGGTTGAACGATGCTCACCTGCTCTTTCTCCTTCCTCCGCTCGCGCGTGCGCTCTTGCGAAGTAGTCTCGTGTGACTTTTATGGCCTGTCCGGTGGCTAGCTGTCTCAGGCGATGAGGCCATTTGGGCAGTGGTCTTTTATGGGGAAAAGAAAGGACATCGTTGCGTGATATCCGACCCCGAACCTCGTCTTCAAAGGTCGCCGCGGCGATCCTGGCGGCCATTGGTCGGGGCAAGGTTGTTGTCAAGGAGTGGTGTTCCCCTTCCCCTTCCCAGCTCCCACATGGCTCTGCGATGTAGACGTGGCTTACATTCAACAGTATGGCGACAGAGAGCTACCATTATGTATTCAATATGGGCAGTCCTGATTTTTTGATCAGGCTAGGGGCCGATTATCACACCGCCAAGACAGAAACACCTGATACCCCACCCAGGATCGGCTACGGAAAGACCGGCACGCTCCCCCAGCCGTCCAACGACGCGGGCGGGGCTGGCGCGCTGGGCCAGTTGGTCGAGCCGCCGTGCGCGCCCGACAGCGAAGACGCGGAGCCTGCGGCCGCGGGTTTTTCGAAATCCCCTGGACCCCGATCAAGTCAGGGCAGCCGTGCTGGACGATCAAAGCACGTCGATGCGTCTGTGTGTCAGTATCGTATCGGGTCGACGTTTCGTCCCTTGCGGGGCACTTCTCAGCCAAACTGACTGCTGACGATGTGCATTCAAGAGGGCATGGAGGCATTGCCCCAACACGTGCGCAAGAAGGCATGATGGAACAAATTCAGGCCCCCGCCATCCTTACCTTCGCCTGGGCTTCAAGGTTTTCATATACCGTCTATGAAGAATACCTCCCCTCGTTGTGGAAAATTGAAGACCGGAGGTTTTCTCGTCCCCTGCGGACCATCACCATGCTCCCGGACCGTCAACAAAACGACTCAGGATGGATAGCTGGCCTCGGGAAAGGGTCGGGATTTATCTGGGTACCGCGTATTGAAAAAAAAGACGTCGGAAGTCTGGATCTGGAGGCTCGATACATGGCGCTGGAGGTTCTTGTCCGCCGTTCTCAGCATCCCTGAGCCGCCGCCCGGCCCGGGGGCCGCCAACTAACTGGTCGGGACGGGGCCCTTGTTGTGGACTCCCCGGGACCGTGACGTCTATCACGGGGGGCCCATCCGCCCACTCCACCCTCCTCCGCGCTCGCACGCATGGGGTGCCGCTCGCAGGCTAACTACTGCCGTGGTCACGCGCATCCGGCGGTGCTCACACACATGCTGCGGTTCTCGCGGGCTAACATGGTGCGCGCAGGCATACAGTGGCGCCTGCGGGCACATTGCGGCCAGCACGTTCTGAGGTTCGAAGGCGATTCCCTTGCTCGCAACCTTGCTGCCTGCGCCCGTAGACAGATCTATATTATATATATATACACATGAATATTATGGCGATCCAGAAGTATGGTGGCAGTGGCATTGGCAAGGTCACAGCATGCTGTTGCTCATGCACCTGGCGGTCGCGAGCTATTGTGGTATTGCCTCGCCCTCTGGCGGTCCAAGGAGGAGCATGAGAAGAGAGGAAAAAGAGACCGTGACCACAGGCTGGTATGGGCATGTTGGTGGAGTGTGATATGTTCAAACGCTCTTGTGGCGCTCACTGGCATACTGCGGCGTTTGCAAGCTTTTCTCTTAGCGACAGTGTCCTGAATACTGATGTGCATACGTGTGTTGTTGTCGTTGTTGTTGTTGATGCTGTTGATGCTACTGTTGTTGTTGTTTGTATTATTGTTGTTGTTGTTGGAGTTGTTTTTGTCATTCTTGTTACTGCTGGTGTGTTTGGCGATGCTGCGGTTGTTGCTATGCATGAATTCGCATTCTTAGAGAATACTTATGGTTGGTCCATCCCACCCGTGCACACTGTATCTTTTCAATTGCAGTGCCCCCCTCGGGGCTCGTAACCGAATCTTTGTGAGGATCGGCTGCCTGTTCAAACTGGGCCCTTGGCCTCCCAGCTACAACAACAACGGCTCCCGCCGGATACTTCCTCACAGTAGATTCCGAAATCTCGCTCTCGCGCGGGAATTCCTCACAACTTATGCAGGAATCGCGTGCTCGCGTGGGATTCCCTATCAATTTATTCAGGCGCCGCGCCCTCGACACTGAGAAGTCACGCTCTCGCTCGAGCTGCTCCCACGAATTACTTTCGAATCGCGCTATCGCTCGAGACTTCCTCGCGATTCATGCAGGATCCATGCTTCAGCAACCCGCCTGCTCGACCTGGCCGCCGAGGCCCGCCTTCCCCACCCGCCCGCTAGGGTCTGCCCGCCCGCTCTGCCCGTGTGGTTCTGCCACGTGTTTTCTGCTTCTAGCCCACCTCCTGCTAATTTCTCCCGAGCTCCATCCTCCCCCCTCCCCCTTTTTCCCTTCCGTCCTCTTCTCCCATGTTTTAGGGGCTGCGCTAAATGCACGTGGCAGGTAAGGAAGGTACACGTACCCTCAATGGGGTACGGTCGAAGACGAAGAGGGCGCGTACCGAGGGTTTGGGAACAACTTTTTGGGTGGCACGCGAGCAGGTAGGAGCGAGCATTGTTATACTATGTGTTGTTGATGTTGGTGTTGTTGTCGTTGGTGGTGTTGTGGTTGGTGCTGTTGGTGTTGTTGGTGTTGTTGTTGCTGGTGCTGCTGTTGTTGATGCGTATGTTATTGTTGTTGTGCCTATTGATGGTGCTGTTGTTGTTGCTGTTGTTGTTGTTGAATTCCCATTTCGAAGGAATGAGTGCTGTTTATCTCCTGCCGGTAACCACTGTAGCTTTTCAAGTAAAGTGCTTCTCCCGGTGCTCGTATCCTTTCTTTACAAGGGAAGCGAGGTGATCACCAAACTGCGCCCTTGGCTCCGGAATTACAACAACAACGCTTCCCGCCTGATACTTCCTCGCAATGCATTCCCAAATCGCGCTCTCGCGCGGGACGCCTTCAAAGTTTATGCAGGAGTCGCATTCTCGCGTGGGACTTCCTCAATGTATTCAGACGCCGCGCCCTCGACACTCATGAATCACGCTCTCGCTGCGATGTGTTCCATGAGTTATTTGGGAATCGCGGTATTGCTCGAGACGTCCTCTCTCGATTCATGCAGGGCGCATGCTTCAGCAACTGCCTGCTAGACCTGGCCGCCTGGGCCCGCCTTCCACACCCGCCCGTCAGGGTCTACCCGCCCGATCTGCCCGTTTGGTTCTGCCACGTGTTGTCTGCTCCTGGCACCCTTCTCTGCTGCTCTCTCTCGTGCTCCATCTTCCTCCCTCCCCCTCTTCCCTTCCGTCCCCTGCCTGAGAGGCTGCACGAAATACATGTTGCAGGTAAGACATACCCCTAAGGGGTACGATCGAAGACGAAGAAGGCGGGTATCGAGGGTATCGGATATAGATCAGAGCGGGCAGTCTTAACATGATGGCTGTTGTTGTAGTTGTTATTGGTGGTGGTGGTGGCGTTGGAGTTGTTGCTGTTGCTGTTGCTGCTGTTTGGTGTATTAGTTGTTGTCGTTGTCGTTGTTGTTGATGTTGTTGTTGTTGTCGTTGTCGTTGTTGTTGTTGTTGTTGTTGTTGTTGTTGTTGTTGTTGTTGTTGTTGTGTTTGTTGTTGTTGTTGTTGTTGTTGTTGTTGTTGCCTTCGTTGTTGTTGTTGTCGTTGTCGTCGTCGTCGTCGTTGCCGTTGTCGTTAGTGGTGGTGTTGTTGCTGTTGTTTGCGATCGCAGTGTGGTGTTCCTTGCCACCTTGCCCCCCCCCCCTGCGTGACGGACGCTACGGGGGTGGAGTAGAAAACAACGCTCCAACGGAACACTGATCGTACAGGAGAAGTAAAAAGCTCCATGCAGAGGCGGGGGACTTGTAAGATGGGCCCACAACTCGCCTTCGGCGGAAGGCGGCGGAAGGCTGGCGGAGGCCCGCGGAGGTAGAGCGATGGGCGAAGGAAGAAGGGGAGGACGAGGACCAGTGTAAACCCAAGAGTCATCAACGATATTGGAATAGAACCTCCCTCCAAGCTTCCTGTTCAGAGGCACCTACAAGGGTTCATTTCCACAGGGCGAATTGCCTCGTTGGAAAACAACCGTTTGAAGACCTTCAAGCATGCCAAAACACGTGTTCTCGGGTTTCGAACGCCACGGATCAACCTGAATCGTGCCAGAACGCCATTCCCAGGATTTCGACGCCGCGAATCAACGTAACTGTTGCGCCCCCATAATCCGGAGTCTTTCCCAAAGACCATGTCTGGCACGTTGATCATAGGAACGCGTGACATTCTTGCAACGTCTTGGAGCGAGTGTGCGCGGCGCTAAGGCGAGAGCCACAGTTTGAAAAGGAACGCTTTCAATCCGTGACGCTCTCCCGAATTTTCTCAAACGAATGTGCGCGGCGCTGCGGCGAGAGCCACCTTCTTTGTGTACAGCGAATGTGCGCGGCGCTGAAGCGAGAGCCACGTTTTGAAAACCACCCACCCTCAGTCCGTGAAGCTCCTGCAGTTGTTTGATACGGATGCGCACGGCGCTAAGGCGAGAGCCACATTTTGAAAGCGACCCGCCCCCCATCCTTCGAAACTGTTTCCAATGGTTAAATTTCGGGGTCATTGATGATTAGGAAGTCTCCGGCGAAACGCCGGGTCCGCCCTAGAAACTGGCCTTGGGGTGCGACAGGGAAAAGTTATTTCTGAGGAAAAGGAATGGAGGAGGAGGGGGGCGATGATGAGGAGGAGGAGGAGGAGGAGGGGGAGGAGGAAGAGGAGGAGGAGGAGGAGGAGGGGGAGGGGGAGGCAAGGGGTGGAGGGCAGAAGCAGGATCAGGAGGGCGGGAGGGCAGGAGAGGAGGGGAGAAGCTTGCGAGGCCGCGACGCCGCCGCCGCCGGAGCAGGGCGCGGCGGAGGCCTCCTGCCTGGTCCTCCTCGCGCCTCTCCGTCGGTCCCACCTGGTCCTCGCTCCGGCTCCCGCTCTTCTCCCCGCCGGGCCGCCTTTGTCGCCCTCCACCGCGCCGTCCTCTCGTCGCTCCTCCCCTCTCTTCTTCCTCCTCTTCTTCCTCCTCCTCCTCGGTCTCTGCCAGCCTCGTCCTCCTCCCTGTTCTCCTCTTATTAATATTATTATTATTATTATGATTATTATTATTATTATTACTACTACTACTACTATTATTATTATTATTATTCCTCGTCTCCTCGTCCTCCTGCTTCTCCGCTCTCCGGCCACCGCCCTTTTCCTCATGAGCAACTCCTCCCTGTCGCACCCCGAGTCGCGTCGGTAGGGCGGGCCAGGCGTTTCGCCAGGAACTTCCGCACCACCTGTGCCCGTAGCTACAAGTTTGCGAGAGCTTCACGGATGGAGGGCGAGCGCGTTTTTGTTTTGAATGCCGTTCTCGCTTTATCGCCGCGCACATTCGCCTCTAAAGTTAGCAGGGGTTTCACGGATGGATGGCGGCTCCTTTTCAAACTTTGGTTCTCGCCTTGGCGCCGCGCGCATTCGTTCCAAGAGTTCACAGCAGTTTCAAGCATTATTTTGGCTGATGTCCTAGAAATGGTGTTGCGGCACGATGTAGGACTGTCAGGGCGTTGAAACCTCAGGAATGGTGTTTTGGCACGGTGCAGGATTTTCAGACCGTTGTCTTCCAACTGGGCACTTCCCTCAGTCAAAATACAGTTTCGTAGGGACCTACGAAGTTGGAATTTTGAGGGAGGGTGCGTTGCAACATTGTTGATGAGTTTTGTGTGTATGTTGGTCCTCCTCCTCCCGCCTTCATCGTGATCCTCCCTCCTCTCTTGCTCCGCCTGCCTCTTTGTCGTCCTCGTCATTTTCATCGTCCTTGTTCTCTCCTCCTCTTGCCTCCTCCGTCTCCCCCCTGCCCCTGCTCTCCGACTCTGATCCGCTCGGAGGCTCCCCCGGCGTTCGACACCCCCGTCCGCTACGAGTCGCGCATCGTGCGCGTGACCAAGGAACCGGGCAGGAGGAGGAGGAGGAGGAGGAGGAGGAGGAGGGGGAGGGGGAGGGGGAGGAGGAGGAGAGGAGGAGACGAGGCAAGAACTTGCAGCGCGAAGGAGAGGAGAGGGGATAAGGAGGGGAGAAGGGGGACGGCCAAACATCCGAAGGATTGGGGGAAAGCAAGGAAAGGGGGGGGGGATGAAGAGGAGGAGAGGTGCAGCAGGAGGCGAGTAGATGCGAGTAGGCAGGGGAAGGATCGAAGGGAGGAGGGAGGAGAGGCAGGAGCAGCAGGGGATGTCAGGAAGAAGGGGAAGAGGCAGAGGGGGCATAATCAGGCCAGGGGGCACGGGGAGGACGGGGGCGGAAGAGGCAGGAGGCCAAGGCTACCGCGGACGGTCTGGGCCCTCAGCCGTGAGGTTCGGGTACATACCGGGGCTGTGGAAGTCTCGGAGCTCTTCGGGGCTTTTTGGGGCATCCGCCAAGGCCCCGGGGAACCTCCGAGAATCTGGCGAGATCCAGAGGCCCAGGTTCCAGCGCCCGCCCGCCCCCCCCCCTCCCAAGATCGGGCAGCAGGTCGATCAAAAGCGTTTTGGAGCGCTCTCGGAGCGTTCCGGAACGCACTGGAAGGGCCGCGGCGACCGATGCAATCTGCAGATCGTTGGGTCGCCGAGATCCCCACATTTACCCAGACCGATTTTGTCAAGCGTTTCGTGATGGGCGGGCGATAGTTGGGGGAGAATCGAGGATTGCAGGAAAGGGGCCTTACAATTGGGCCCCCCGATGTTGTCACGATCCGATATTGTCCCGACCGCTACTTTCGTCCTGCCAGAGGAGGCCCACGAATGCCGCCGCCAGTGCGAGGCTGCGGATTCCAAAAGCGGCGAACAGATCCTTGTCCGTGCCCTCGCGGTCTGGATTCTGGGGCGCGATCCCGCGGATACGCGGTCGCACGAATACGTTCCGCGCGGGGCATTCGGGATCCAGTCCCAGCCCGCGAGGCCGCGGATACGAAAGTGTCGTATAGAAGCTCGGTGCAGCAGCCCACGAACTACGGTCGGAACAACGGCGAGCCGGACACAGAAACGGTTTATCTCCTGGGCCCGCCGTTTTTACAGGAGGCTCTCGCAGAGTGGGGCGCAGACCTTCGACCAAATGACTTCAGCTTGTCGTCAAGGTGTACAGCAGCAGCTGTCCCTCAGACTTTGCTTCGGCGTAGAGTCGTAATACAATATGTGCCGGCCATGCGCAGGGGGGACGGGGGAGGGCTTCTTAGAAGTACCTCTGCTTCTGAGACGGCGCGAGCATTATCTGTAGATGCAGGGCCGGCGCCTTCTAAGAAGCAGCCTCCTTCTGAGAAGCAGCCCTCACTCCCCGCACCCCCCTTGCGCGCCGCCAAGCCTTGAGAGTTGTTCAGTGCGAGGTCCCAGGAAGGCTGGACTGTCCGCACCCCTTCGGGCGAAGAGAACTGTGCACATGCACCGACCCTGGCAAGGCCCACCCTCGACCCAGGATCGGTGCATCTGCCTTCCTGGCCAAGGCAGGAGGGCGTATGCACCGATCCTGGGCTCAGGATGGGCCTGGCCAGGATCGGTGTATGTGCATAGGTCTTTTTCCTCCACCCCTTCTCCGTCCAGGGCTGGCTTTTTTGATCCTGAGCACCTGTTTGACAGTGCAAGGTGTCCGGCGAGGGCCGCCCTGAGGCTGCAAGCGGCCAGCACCGACGAAGAACAAATGCCATGAACATAAACTTTTGGCGCTCCACGCGGATTTCTTGGATCCTCCCCCTCCTCCTCCTCCTCCTCCTTCTCCCCCTCCTCCTCCTCCTCCTCCTCCTCCTCCTCCTCCTCCTCCTCCTCCTCCTCCTTCAACCTGGACAGAACCCCCAACAGTGACACGTCGATTAGTGAATGGTCCGTTTTCGGTCTTCGAGGGGGCGCCGTGGCCGTTATGTTCGAGGCCTGCGACCGCCAAGTTTGGGCCTCGGGTCGTTGTCACTAAGCCACCTTTTACTGAAGGGGGGTCTGTCCATCCCCGAAACTTTTGGCGCTCCACGCGGATTTCTTGGATCCACGCTGGACCGCCCAGTCGGCGGCGCCTCCGGCGCCGCGCCGCCCCTGGCGCGATCCGCGCGCCAGGGAGGGTGGTCCAACGCGGATCCAAGAAATCCGCGCGGTGCGCCAACAGTTCATGTTTACGCCACCTTCTTTTTCTACAGAAGCAAGATCCCGCCTTGATTTTTGCTGTTATGTATGGTAGAGGTAACCGACCATGCCCCTGAGAATCACACCAGGGGGATCATAAAGTTCGGGGCCCCGGCGGGATAAGAAACGATTTGTCCGGGCCAGTCGCACATGTGATGTATGACGAGGAAAAAGGAGGTCGTCGTCGTCGTTGTCGCACGCAGACGTTCGAGGTCTGGTGTTTTCCCCTCCCCGCAGGACGGCCTGACCTTCGGCTTCGTGGCCGACCGCGCGTGGGCCGCGCGCCTCCAGGCCGAGCAGCTGCGGCGGGAGGAGGCGAGGGCCGCCGCGCTGGAGGACCCAGGGCAACGCTTGGGTTATGCTGCTCCCAGCGATCTGAAGGACCACATCCCAGAAACAATCTCGAGCGCCCAGAAAGGTGTCGAAGCAGTGTCGAACGAGTATCGCCTCCCAGGGCCCGACTCGTGAGAACCTCACAATTTCGGTGCTTTCCTGGTGCTCGAAATTCTTTCTGGTGATCAAGGCTGAATAAAGTAGGTTGGAACATCATAACGCTTGGGTGGGATACAGTAGCAAATCATGGGAGCCTTGTGCACCCTCGTACTTCCGTAGTTAGCGTCGATGAGCGTCAAACAGCGTCCTGGGAAGGGGATCAGATAGCGCCGAATTATCGTCGGCTAGCGTCGATCTCGCGTCGATCTCGCGTCGATCTAGCGTCGATCTAGCGTTGATGTGCGTCGATTTGCGTCGATCCGCAAGAGCCGACAAGATGGTACGGGAGGCTCCCACGAGCTGCCACCGAAGGACACGGCCGGGAAACTTTGGATCGCGTGCCGCTCCGTCGGCGATCCTGGCCCGCCACGCCTCGGCGCGACAGTCCAGTCCAGTTAACGCAGTACTCCTCCTCCTCCTTCTCCTCCCCCTCCTCCTCCTCCTCCTCTTCCTCCTCCTTCTTCTCCCCCTCCTCCTCCTCCTCCTCCTCCTCCTCCTCCTCCTCCTCCTCCTCCTCCTCTGGCAATTCTTCCCGGTCCCCACGCTCCGACGTCCCGAGCCATTTCGAGCCTCCCACCCCACGGAGCGGAGCTACACGCTATCCGCTTGCTAGGCTTATCGCCAGGGCCGCCGCCGCGACACGCTAAGCACAAGTTCCCGACCGCAGGCTCACGGGCTCTCAGAATCGAGGTTCGAGGTCTTCGGGTGATTTCGTCGGTTCTTGGTGGCATTCTGGCCCCAGGAGGCTTTCCAGCAGGCCGGAGAGCCGAGTTATGCCCCGAAAACCACCACGGTCAACGCTAGGGGAGGGTTCGGCCTCCGAGGGGGTGGGACGCATCGACCCCTCATCGCCCATTCATTGCAGATAAGGGGCCCGATAGCTCGCCCCGCCGCTGCCATCGAGGGCCTGTCGCCGAGTTGTCCGCGACAAGTCGCCGATACTTGCTCGATGTTCCCCCCCCCCCGGGCTGGTCCCCCCCCCTCCCCAGCAGTTTTCCTGCAGAGGAGGAGGAGGCCGCCGCCGCGGCCCGTGCGGCGGAGGGTGGCGAGCCGGTAGACGCCGCGGCGCCCGCCGCAGGTGGCGCCAAAGGGCCCGGAGCTCCAGCGCCCAGGCATGCTCGCGTCGTGAGTCACCGCCCACCGAACCACCGCAACCCAATCTGAAGGCCTCAATTTGCCCTCCATTTCTGGTGCGGGGGGGTAGGGGAACAATGAAAAACACATATGGATCCCGAACCACCCCCCAATCCGAAATTGTGGTCTTCGGGTTGGGTTGGGGTGGTCTGGTAGGTAGTCAGTGAGGCGGACGATGTTTTGCCGTTCCGGGCTTTCGGGGGGCCCTTGCCTAGGGGAACGAAGTGTTATAGAAACATAGAAACTCAGATGTCCGCGCGGATTCCTAGGATCGGCGCTGGAGGCGTCGCCAGGGGCGGCGTTGGAGGCGTCGCCAGGGGGCCCTGGCGCCGATCCGAGAAATCCGCGCGGATCTCCGAGTTGTCATGTTTTTGTCATTGTTCGTTCCCCTATTACTGGGCCCCAGGACCGTCAAAACACGACTCAGGATGACAAACCTGTCCCAAAGGAAGGGTCGGGACGTCCAGGGAAACAGCATCGAGCAAATCCAGACATCGTGCGTCTTGGTGTACTGAACAATTCAAGACGGAGGGTGTTCGACGTTGTCGGAAGAAGGCGTGCTGGGACGAGCATTGCCCCCACACGTGCGCAAGAAGTCATGGTGGAAAGTGCCCAGTGTCCCGGTTTGGGCATACCGTCTGCGGAGAAGATTTCTTCTGCCGGTCGTAAAAATTAGCAACGGGATGCTTTTCGTTGCGTTCAGCCTCTGAGGGCCCTCGCTGGACCCCAGGGCCGTCGAGAAACGGTTCACGATGACTGCACCGGGGTAAACTGCGAAAATGATTATCAATTGGTGTGGGCGCGGGCAGAGACAGGGGGCCGTGGGCACACGCACAAACACACACACACACATTCTCTTCAGCGTTAGTCAACATGCGTCTGCTGGATCATCGGACGGTGCCCAACGCAGGACATCCAGACCCCCGACGTCCTGATGTCTTCATTTACCTCGACCCCCAGAGGTTTCGACCCATTCTCCGGGACCGTTTTCTGGACGGCCCCGAGGCCTGGTAGGGGCCCCCAGAGGCTGAAAATGGTGACACACCTGCCGTCCTGACTGTTCCATGACTCGAGGGGGTCTGGAGCAGGGTGCCGCCCGCGTTGGCACCTGCGTGCTAAGCTCCCCGCGACAGTCCCGAGCGCCCGCGCCCTTTTTTGCCCTCGACGCGGTGCGCCGCGCTGGCGGCCCGCGCGGGTGAAGCCACGGCGCAGGGCCGCCGTGCCTTCAGTGCGTCCGGCACCTGCTCGCTTCGCGGGATGCAGCCCCTGGCAAGGTTACTATAGCCCCCTTCCCCCCGCAGTTGCTGTGAAGAGTGAGGGTCTTCGGCGGAAGCCATATCTCTAGGCCTCCCAGATGGGGTCAGGGTAGATGGGGTCGGGAGATCGCGCCGTATCGTCGGTGCATCGTCGATGCGGCTCGATGTGGAGCCCGATGTTCTCGACGCTGGCGTCGCCGATGCATTGCCGATGTCGAAGATGCAAGTCTATGCATCAGCGATGTATGGCCGATGCATCGGCGATACGGCGCGATCCTCCGACCCCATCTACTCCGAGCCCATCTAGGAGGCCTCTAGCGTCCGTATCCGCGGCCTCGCGGGCTGGGCCTCTGGGCCGCGGTCCCCCGCGTACGGGGCGTCGTTTCGCGGGTGCCCCGCGCGGAGCGTTTTTATACGACCGCGCATCTGTGGGATCGCGCCCTGGAATCCAGACCGCGGACACGTTCGTCGCTCGTCGGAGGGTGCGGTGGGCAGGGTCGTCGGCAGTCTGCGAGGCTCGAAAAAAAGTTGATGCAGCCCGCCGCAGGCGACGCCGTCCTGCACACAACACAAAACGCCCGCCGCAGGCGCTTATTTTTGGCCAGTGCGATACGGTGGGTCGTGGGGTGGGTCGCGGGTGGGTCGCGGGGTGGGTCGCGGGTTTGTCGCGGGGTGGGTCGCGGGGGTGACGACGACGACAACAGCAGCAATCATTTTGATGTTGTTCACTCTCATCTGCCCGCTTGTCATTCGATATGTACCTCCTAAACCCAAGATGCCCGCCCTCCTCGTCTTTGATCGCGCCCCCTTTGGGGGGGTATATCTGCCTTCCCTGCCGCGTGTAATTGCCGCAGCCTATAGAACAGAAATATCTGTCATAATTGAAAAGAGGGACAGCGAGGAGGAAGGGAGGAAAAGGGGCATGGGTCAGGAGGGAGGGAGGGACAAGATGGAGGACGGGAGGGATGTGCCGGAAGGATAAGCAAGAGGGGGCGGTCAGGGAATCTCAGGCGATGGCGCGGTTCCAGGTAAACAGCGAGGAAGTCCTTGGCGACAGCGCGAGTCCAGAGCGCCGAGAGAGCGAATCGTGAGTGAATCGTAGGAAAGTCTCCGGCATGAGCGCGAGTCCTGGAGATATTGCAACGAAGTTTCTGGCGAAAGCCCGATTTCTCAATGTTCTGTGATGAAGTATCTTGCGGGAGCTGCTGTTGTTGTAAACCTGGGGCCAGGGAACCAGTCCGAGGCGTAAAATTTCCCGTGCAGAAAAATGGTGCGAGCCCCGAGATGGGAGCTTCAATTGAAGAAATAAAATGGGCCCCGCTGAGGGATCAACAATATTCAGTTTCCCTACATGAGTGTTCAACACGCATCTACACACAAGAATCCTCAACGCGGAAGACTACTTCACTCGCGCATCATGGGATGGCGTCAGACCGTGCGGCCCCCTCACTATGATGTTCAGTTTCGGCGTTGGTCAAAGTGAGTTGGCCGAGCGGTCATTCATTGTCCCTGTGTGCGTGGTTGAAGTGAGAATCCGTGGTGGGGATTATGTTTTTTGCGTTGTTATTGTTGATGTTGTTGTTGTTGTTGTTGAACATTATTAATTCTAAAGAATAATTATTGTTGGGCCCCCTGGTGCGCGCCCCCCCCGCCGCGCCTAGGCCGCAGCCACGTTTTCATCATTTTCGTGAGGAAGCCTCAGGTAATTCGAGGTGATCAAGATCCGGTTGTTTTGTTGTAATCCGTTTTCCCTTGCAAAAAACATTATAAAATGACATTTCTTGTTCTAATATAATCAAATTTCAAGAATCCCTTGCAAAAAATAAGGTAAAGTGGACATTCGCGCGCGCAAGACGAAATCCTTCCAAAAGCTTAGTGTTCGGAGCGATTTTAACATAAAAACATCAAAAAACCAATGGTTTTTCAACAAAAAAATGTCAAAATCTCATCCCGCGCGCTCTTGCGGATTCGTAGGAAACCCAACACTTTTTAAACATTTCTGTCAAACGGGCTTTTGCGAGCAACTTTTTCGAACTTCTGCGACAACGGTTGCGCACCTGCCAGGGCCATCATCCCTGTCAAATAATACCATGCGGGACACATTCGTTTTTTCTTCGCGCGCGCACGCCGAAATCTCCAAAAACCATTGGGCTTCTTAAGAATTTTAGCACCGCGCATGTATCATATGCATCATATGCAACAGATGTTCTGTGGAAGGCTTAACAACTTCTGTGGGTTAACAAGGCTTAACAACTTCTGTGGGTGTACGAACGTAGGCTTCACAACTTCTGTGGGTGTGTACCCCACGCCAGTGTAGTAGCCACGGTCGTCCGCACGCCACGAAGTGAAGTGTCCCAACGTCATAGGGCGGGAAGCTGGGTTTGGGTGGTCGCGAAGAGTCGTTTGGATTCTTAGGCTTACGCCACACCGCCGACCCCTTGTTTATGCCAATCTGGGGGTAGTAGAAGCCGCGAAGGGGTGAAAAGCGAGTTTTGGAGCCACTTGGGGGCCGTTTCGGAGCCTCTGGGGTGCTTCTTGGGGGTTCCTTGGGGCGTCTGGGCGGCCTCGTGAGGGCCTCTGGGGGCCTCTTGGGGCACTCTTGGGGCCCCCTGGGGCTCCTGGGGGCAGAAAGCTAGAGTTTCAACATGTTTGGTCGCCCTCTTGGGCCCCTCTTGGTGCCGTCTTGGAGCCCTCTTGGGCCGTCTTGGGGACCTCTTGGGCCGTGTTGGGGCCGTCTTGGGCCGTCTGGAGGCCGTCTTGGGGGCCTCTTGGGCCATCTTGGGGCTGTCTTTGGGGCCTCTTTGGCCGTCTTGGAGCGTCGGGAAGCCGAAAAGGCGGAAAAGCAAAAAACATCGAAAAACACTATGGAAAATCAACAATTTTAGACTCTTGGGGCCCTCTTGGGAGGCTTGTTTGGGACCTCGGGGGCCGTCTTGGAGACCTCTTGGCCCGTCTTGGGGCCATCTTGGGCGTCTTGGAGCGGTCGTTTGGCGTCTCGGGGCCTTCGTGGGCCGTCTTGGAGGCCTCTTGGGGGCTTCTTGGCCCGTCTTGAGGCCCTTTTGGGCCCGGAAAAGCCCCGTGAACCGCTCGTCCCGGCCGTGCTGCGCTCGTGCCGGACCCCCCCCCCCTTCCAAATCGACCGGACCGGGCTCCCGGGGGAGGGGTTTGGGGAGGGGGAAGCATCTCACACGTTTTATCATTTTGTTTAGCGGATTTTTTCATGATTTTATGTTCTCGAAGGTTTTTTTTTCTCGATTGTGGCCTCTGGGGCCCGTTTTGTCCGGCCCTGGGGCCATCAAAAACGAACCCGGGGTGACAATCTGACCCCGGGGAACCACCATCGGGTCGCCTACGACCCCGGGGGAAACCGCCCATGTCGATGACGCTGATCGGTTCTGACATTTTTTATGACTGCAATGATGTCGGGCGCTTGCTCGGGCGCCCAGCCGACGCTCGCCCGCCGCTGGCTGTCGCTGCGAAGTGTTGGCGCAGCCTCCCTTAGGTCGACGTGGAGGGTTTCCCCGAAGGGCTTTGGCGACCCTCTCCTCCTCCCCCCTTCCACTTTTTATCATTTTGTTTAGCAGATTTTTTCGTGATTTTATGTTCTCGAAGGTTTTTTTTTTTTCTCGATTGTGGCCTCTGGGGCCCGTTTTGTCCGGCCCTGGGGCCATCAAAAACGAACCCGGGG